CACTTCAGATTTGATAGCGTGTTCGAACGAGCGCGTTCGAATCAACTCACTTCTCCGAAGCAACGTCGATCAGGTTCTTCAGGCGGTCTAGATCGCAGGATTTCTCTCCGTGGACGTTGAAAAACGCCTTGCAGCCTGGTGGAGGAGGTTCGTTCGACGCTATCTGTGCAACGTTAATGGGAAACACAGACGAAATATAAGCGTTTCCATCAATCGCTAGAGCAAACGACGATTTTTTTTCTTTTATTTCTATTAACAGTACATCTTAATTGTTCTCTGACCTGCTGGAAGGAAAAAACGGTGGACGAGTAGGAACGTAGCGAGAGCGCAAACTTCAGCAGCTTCAACTGCACTGGACTCAGGAGTTGCCCGGCTCGCTTCAGGATCAGCTCGTAATAGGACAGATCTGAGCCTGTGAAATGAACAACACCAAAAACACGATTGAACGAACAGGTACAAATGTTACCCGGGTACGCATATGAATGGAATCGAATGCAGGGAAGTTACCGTCATGGTCATTTTCGATATCTTGGTTAGCCTCCACGAAGTCCCAGAACTTATTCTGGCTCTCCTCGGCAAGAAACTCACTGGCGACGAATAACGCTTTTATTTATATTTGTTCAGTTAAAATAATCAGCATTATATTGTCTAGATGCACATTTCACTGTAGTCTAATTGTAACACGGTCATTAATTAGCGTGTCACTCTGAACAGACTCTACCTGGCCTCCAGGAGCAATGGTGTAGAGGGCCATTTGGTGGTAAGCGTCGTGGTCACAGCCTTCGAGTCGCCGTCTACGCATGACACAAAGTGCAGAGCCACCAGAAATGGCCAAAGCATCCACATCTTATAGCCTAGAACGCAAAAAATAAAATAAAAAACACACATTCATGTGTTGAACAAACCTAATTAGCCAACCAAAAACAATTTCATACAGCATTTACACATACAAGCATAGTGTTTGTCCGGCACGTCCCACAGACGCACAATCAGATTGAGATCTGGGGAATTTGAAGGCCATGTCATGTTCCTCAAACCGTTCCTGAACAACTTTTGCAGTGTCTCAGAGCGCATCATCCTGCTGAAAGAGGCCACTGCTATTAGGGAATACCGTTGCCATGAAGGGGTGTACTTAATCTGCAGCAGTGTCTACGTAGGTGGTACGTGTCCAAGTAACATCCACATGAACACCAGGGTCCAAGGTTTCCCAGCAGAACATTGCCCAGAGCATGGGCACACTCTGCCTCCGCCAGCTCACCTTGTTCCTATAGTGCATCCCGGTGTCATCTCTTCCCCAGGTAAGCGACGCACACGGACACGCACCCGGTCGTCCATGTAAAAGAAAGCGCAATTCATCAGACCAAACCATTTCACCATGGTCCAGTTCTGATGCTCACATGCCCATTGAATGGGGTGGTGGATCAGGGTCAGCATGTGCACTCGGACCGACCATCCTGTGGCTACGCAGCCTCATACGGAGCAAGCTGTGATGCAGGGTGCATTCTGACACGTTTCCCTCACAGCCAGCATGAACTTCTTCAGCAATTTGTGCAACAGCAGCTCTTCTGAGAGATCGGACCAGACGGGATTCGCTCCTCACATGCGGGATTCGCTCCTCACATGCGGGATTCACTCCTCACATGCACACTGTCGCAGGTTCACCGGTTGTCCTATCTTAGATGACTTTTTGTAGGTACGAACCACGGCGTACCTGGAACACCCTGCACGACCTGCGGTCTTCTAGCCAGCACAATTCGGCCATTGTGAAAGTCGCACAAATCCTTATGCTTGCCTATTTTTACTGTTTCCAACATGTAATCTTCGAGAACCCTCCCTTTGACAGGTGCCACTGTAATGAGGTAATCAATGTCATTGACGTCACCTCCGTGTGGTTTTAATGTAATGGCTGATTGATGAACATGCATATGCTTGGAAGATTTTGCTCGGCCAAACAACTTCAATTTAAAACTGAATTGGAGTAACACTATATAGAAATGACGCCTAGCTGGAATTGCTTATTATAAATGGACGGCACAAAAGAGAAACCAAGGATCATTTCCAACTCTAGCTGTCATACACTGTTGTTTTCGCTTCCACGGATGAACAGGCGTCTCGAACTTAAGCCAATCCCGAGCCTCAGCGTGGCCTCCCTGGCAGCCAATCAGCATCGAGAATTCGCACACTTCCGGGTTGGTTTTTTAACCAATCGCCCCGGATTCGACCAGGATGTTAGCCTAGCCGCTGCAATTCAACCGAAATTTATCAGACCATGTTGGAAGATAACGACCTAATGTTGAGCAAAGCACCAAAACAAAACACCAGGAGACATGATTACTCAAGTTAACATTAATTGGGCCGAGACTGCGCTTTATTCTGTAGCTAGCTAGATACTCTTATTAGCTGGCAACGGCTAATTATTATAAATAAATTTAAAAAAAAGGAAAGCTAGGACAAATGTAGACATTAATTCATGTGAAGTGAAAGCATTTCGCATTTACTAGATCGTTTAAATAAATATTTTAAAGAAAACAATCGTGTGTTTAGTAACAGCAGTGCAAAATAACAGCTCATTACCTGCACCGGCTTCTGAACTTCCTGCTCGAGTAGCCATGGTCCAATCCCAAATGGCGCCTCACTTCCTCGACGAGTCGTCTACACAGGGTGTGAAAAGGCACCTTCTACACCCTAGCTAGTGCACTAGGATAGCCTTTTGGGACTCCTCCCTTGTTTGGTTCGGGTCCTTCATTCACAGAGAGAGGCATTTGTTTTGCCTGTTCAAAAATGCAACGACAAATGGCTGTGATATCAAATCTGTGTTTTGTGGAAGAAATTGTATATATATGTGTGTGTGTGTGTGTGTGTGTATATATATATATATATACACACACACACACACACACACACACACACACACACACACTTATTATGTTTTTAGAGGTTCTGAAAAGGAAAGACCAGAAATTTTGCTTAGTTTGTTTTAATTCACAGGCAATTTAGTAGTCTGATAAAATATAGCAATGTGGCTGTACGCTCTTTCAAAAAAATAGTATTTTTTATTATTATTATTTATTTAATTAAATTTATTAATTAATTGATTTTTAATTCTTTTTTGGGGGGGGTATTCTTGTTTTGTCAGTTTTGCGGAAATATAAGATAAATCAGTTGATATGGTTACAGAGTGACGTAAGCATTTGCTATAAATCCCACCGTGATACTGTACATCGATCGTTCTCTTTTACCTTCTGCTCTGTGCACATGAAAGCGGAATGGAGCTATCTGCTCAGCAGAACAGATTTACATTTACATTTACTTACATTTATTCACTTAGGAGATGCTTTCATCCAAAGCGACTTATTTACATTGGTGTTTTGTCCTCCAAAGTTGGGGACAGACCACCTTCAACTCTTTATATCAGTGGTGTCAAACTCATTTTAGTTCAGGGGCCACATACAGCCTAATTAGATGTCAAGTGGGCCGGGCCAGTAAAATCATAGTATAATCACCTATAAATAACAAGAAGTCTATGTTTTTACTTTTGTTTTCATGCAAAGACATTTATATTTAATGAAATATCCTTTTATAAAATATATCATGAACAACCTCAGATTTCTTAAGACAAACATGTGCAATTTGCTTCTGATTATCATTCACATATATGTGCATTACAACTGCTCAGTGTTTGTACAAATGCAAAAAAAAAACTTCACAGGTATTTGGAACTGAAAAATATAATATTTCACTTTCAAATTTATGGCATTGCATGAACAATAGTATTCCACCAAACCAAACTATTTTGTACTGAAGCTGTTGACTAACATTAAATTGCAGATTTTAAAAAAAACTATTACCCATTCATCTCTTTGAATAAATAGGAAGTGGTCAATTTTTTATGGAAAACTCTACACTCTGTATCCACTTTTCTGCTTTTTGGCAGACATTTTGGCTAATGAGGGTGTGGGGACGAGTAGAAAATAGAGTAGACTACTCCGTGATGACAAACAGCAGACGTCGCATTGCTGCCATCTGCTGTTCAGTCCCAGAGATGTGCCGCGTTTTTTACCCCTAGTGGATAATTTAGCAAGACATTTTATTAAAAATGACAAGTTCGTGTCTTTTATGCATATTTTTTTTCACTTTCAAAATTCGTCCTGCGGGCCGGAATGAACCCTCTAGCGGGCCGGTTTTGGCCCGTTTAACACCCATGCTTTATATTCTCATTCATTTCTTCCTTGGAGATGTCATTATTCCAAGAATGGTACTGGCTCCATGACACTCTGTAGCACTTCGCTTGTTTCATCACTCACCGCTTCCTGTACATGTTCATGTCTACAGGCTCCAGGGAGTTAAACTTTCTTTTTTCCTCAGCAGTGTTGGTGACTTTAATGTTGGTACAAAGTAAGTTTCTAGTCAGCGACATATGCTGCAGTTCCGGCCTCTGAGTTTTCTTCTTTGAATATTTAACATCTATGCCAACTAGCGAATTTTGTGGCTATCGCATTGCTAGTGTCGTAGAGTGATACTCGCTCGACATTCCACGCACAGGCTATTGCTAAACCTGCTAATTTACCTGGATTCCTGCAAAGTGGGAATATCGGGAATATGATGCATGGTGGATTAGTGGTTAGCATGTTCACTTCGCACCTCCAGGGTTGGGGGTTCAGTGCTTGCCATGGCCATGTGTGTGCAGAGCTTGCATGTTCTCCCTGTGCTGCGGGGGTTTCCTCTGGGCACTCTGTTTTCCTCCCCAGTCCAAAGACATGCATGTATGAATGGTGAGTGGGTATGTGATTGTGCCCTGTGATGGATTAGCACCCCGTCCAGGGTGTACCCCACCTTGTGCCCTGTGCTCCCTGGGATAGACTCCAAAGTTACCCGCGATCCTGAAGGATAAGCGCTATAGAAAATGGATGGATGGATGATGCAGCATTCCTGGAGAAGATAGGGTTAAGGGCCTTGCTCAAGGGCCCATCAGTGACAACTTGGAAGTTCTGGAAAATAATTGATGAGGATGGGATTTGAACCCATGCATGCAGAGCACAATGCAGTCTATCGCCTTAACCAATCGGCCACCTCATTTTTATACATTTGGGTTGTATTGCCCATATTATTCACATTATACCAAGTAGGTAGTCATGGATAGCCAGACTATGGGACCTTCCAGCCATGCACTCAAGTGTCTGGCTCTCTTCAAAGGTGAAATTTGCTCACAGCCTTGACATTGACCATCTCAAAGAAGTCAACTGTGCAGCGATGCCAGTGGTGATATGGTACACTTGGCTGGCAGATTAAAATTTTGGCTCATAGTTGAATCTGGCCCATGGCCCTCAGTCTAAGCAGCTTGCTGGTCATAAATGCCCAGACCTGATGATGGCCAACAAGCACAGCCAAATTCCCAGAAAACAATTTGAGTCTCTAGACAAATCAATGACTTGGCCGCACACATCCTCAGAACGCTGGTAAGCATTTGAATGCCCCTCCTCTACCCCAAGGGGAGGGCCCTTAACAATGCTAAGCACCACTACAGATCTTGCAGAGAATACCTCTGAAGGACAGAGTCTGATGATTTTATCTTATCGCTTATTATTGGATGATGAGTACTTTAGATTAGTTGGTGCTGATGAGAAGGTCACTCTGTCCCAAGAATTTTCTTGTTCAAAAAAAAATGACACCAATTTCCTCCCAATTTTAGATACGAGAGACTTCCTGAAGACACTAATTTTTCGTACACAAAAGGTGTCCGATGTAGTCCAAGCCATGCAGCTTCAGGACTGGTTTATGTCAGTGGACTGTTGAAGCACTCGTTTTCATGTTCCCATTACCTGGGAATACACATGCTTCTTAAAGGATCAGAGATGTACCACTCCAGGAAGTACGTGCTGCTGCTGCTACCTGATCATCCCTCACAGTGGTGACAGCATGAATGTAATCTCTGAGGACCTTTCAGGGCAGAAGTCCCCAGAGGCATGAAATACAATGGTAGTTGCATATGTAACTGTGGTGTACCTAAACTCAGCATACACTAAGTCCCAGGATTCCTTGTTATTCAGAACCAGTGTTTGCTTGGCAAGAAGGTTCACGGAAATAATTTCCACACCAACTAACCAACACGGGAAATTGTCAGAATTTCACAAGAATGGTTCTATTTCAGAGGGGTGCAGTGCAGTTGCAATAAAGAAAGTAGCTGAGTCTGTTGATTGTACTTTATAGGTGCTGGGGCTTGCAATGTCTTATGATTTCCCAAAGGTCCTGTAATGCCATAATGCAGCTGAACTTGCAAGAAGACAGAAAGCAGCACATGCAGCCCAAACCAGACATTTTAGAATGAGTTTAAGGGTTCAACAAGTGGAAATGGAGAATATTGTTTGCTTGTTTATTTTGTTTGTCTATCTGTCTGTCAATCTATCTAATTTATAATCTGCACATCATTTATAATGATGTCCGAGTCGAGAAGGAACTGTTGCCTTTCTAACAAGACCATGGGTCGTGTGGTCCACATAAGAATCACAGTAGGTTTCTTTTTCTCATTATAGTTCCGTAGGTAACAATCAGTAAACAACCAGTCATTTTTAGTATTGGGTGTAAAACATTTGCAATTGATTACTTTTTATAGTCATCCTTATATACCAGAGTGAGTGCAGAAGCAAAAGGGAGCAGCACATGAGGTGTGACATAAGAATCACTTTTATGACTAGCTTTAAAATGTATCTTTTTTTAATGGAAAGAAACAATGCATTCTTGGAGGGAGATTTTTAAAAAATGTTTTTTTTTGTGTGTGTTTTAAAAAAAATTTTTTTTTACATATTTTAAAAAAGATAGATAGATAGATAGATAGATAGATAGATAGATAGATAGATAGATAGATAGATAGAGATACTAGGCTAAATAAAATAAAATCTAAAATAATTTTTTGGGGGGGAAACTTCACTGTTAATATTTTCCCATTTCTTGTTGCTTTTTCTGAAAGCACAAATCAAAAGTATGTGCGGTTCTTTCTTTTATTCTCGAGGCTGTAAAAAATATATCATTTTAATGTTTCATCGTTGTTTGTAATCAATGTCCATAGCATAACAAGGCACCGAGGTTCTATCCCGGTTCTTACGATCCTCAACTCGAACCTAAAAGTGCAAGTTACTTCCTTCTTCTTCTACTTACCTGTGCAGGGCTGCAAGGATGTCTAGGGCAAAATGTGTGTGCTTAAGGATTGAATTAAAATAGTATACAGTGCCTGCCACTAATATTGGCACCCTTGGTAAATATGAGCAAAGAAGGCTGTGAAAAATTGTCTTTATTGTTTAACCTTTTGATCCTTTGTTAAAAAAAAAAAAAACAACAATGCTCTGGTCTTATAGATATCAAATAATTGCAAACAAAACACAGGTTTATCAAAAAAAAAATCTTTGGTAAATATAGGTGTGGGACAATTATTGGCACCCGGTATTAGTCAATACTCTGTGCTACCTCCCTTAAGATAACAGCTCTGAGTCTTCCCCTAATGCCTGATGAGGTTGGTGAATACATGGCAAGGATTCTGAGACCGTTCCTCCATACAGAATCTCTCTAGATCCTTCAAATTTTGAGGTCCACACTGGTGGACTCCTCTTCAGTTCACCCCACAGGTTTTCTATGGCTTCAAGTCAGGGGACTGGGATGGCCAGGGCAGGACCTTGATTTTGTGGTCTTTAAACCATGTTTGCGTTCATCTTGATGTATGTTTTGAATCATTGTCCTGCTGGAAGATATAACCATGGCCCATTTGAAGCTTTCTGTCAGAGGCAGTCAGGTTTTCATTTAATATCTGTTGATATTTTATAGAGTCGATGATGCCATGTATCCTAACAAAATGTCCAGGTTCTCTGGCAGAAAAACAGCCCCTACCATATTTAACTGTAGGCATGACATTAACCATTGAGACGATAGAGACACACGTCCAATTCCAGGTTGATTCATGACACTTCCAGTTGACTGGAACTTCTTAATTATTGCCCTGATGGTGGAAATGGGCATTTTCAATGCTTGAGCTATTTTTTTATTGCCACATCCCATTTTGTGAAGCTCAAAAACCTTTTGCCACACATCACACTTATATTCCTTGGTCTTACCCACTGTTATGAATGACTAAGGGAATTTGTCCTATGTTTTACCTCATATTTATACCCCTGCAACAGGAAGTCATTCATGGTTGAACAATGTGTACTAAAAAATGTAAAATATCAATGGGAATATACTTCAAATCTATTTTTAGAGGTGCCAGTAATTGTTGCACACTGATATTTAACAAAGTTTTTTTTTTTTTTGATAAACCTATGTAGTGTTTGTAATTGTTTGATATCCATGAAAGCGGAGTATTTTTGTGAATCTTTTGAACAAAAGAGCAAAAAGTTAAACGATAAAGACAATCTTTCACAGCCTTCTTTGCTCATATATAACAAGGGTGCCAATATTAGTGGAGGGAATTGTATCAAGCATGACAGCACAGTGTGTGATGCTTCATGGTGTCATGGTTCCCTTTTTGTAGATATAACTTCTGGCACATGGATGATATAACCTCTTGGAATGTGGAAAGGTGAAGGGCGTGTACCTAAATAATACTGGACAGCAATGCTGGAACACTAAGCTGTCTCTGAGCAAAGTAGCTCTTTTAAATGAGGTTTTCTTTTGGATTTATCTTCTAAAAGTGACTATAGGATCCAGACACTAGACACATCCGAGCATAAAAATCAATGTCCGTCATTAGGAGTTAATCCTGAAGACCACGACACGGGAGAGAAAAGGATGGCGCTCATAAAGCTTCGCTTCAAATAGCTTCATTTAATCATGTTGTCTAAAACATCATCAAATATAGTTTCCGTAAGTCCATTGTGTAACTTAATACTTCAAAACGGTCTTCAGATTGATTTCGTTGTTACGGTTAATTTGGTTTTATTCAATAGCAGACAGTTCTGGGCCAATTCCGGCTCTCGTTCTGAAGTCTTGGTTAATTACCGCATGAGTTTTAAGCACACAGTCTAGAATAGGGCCACAGTCTCAGGAGTTCAGTTCCGTTTCTATATTTGTGTGCCAATTCTTTCATGAGTGAAAATGGTTAAAGGAAGAGGGCCCAAGCACAATTAATATTGGATATCATTGCTAGGCGTACTTTTGAGTCGATAGAAACAAAGACACTGTAAAGTTCTCACTGTATAGTTTCATTACATTCGGGTTTTCTTTGTCTTGTACGCACACGCTGTAATTTGAGAATTATTAGTGAATTAATCTCAGGTATTATTTATTTACACACTACAGGTTTATAGAAAAACAATCCATTTCAAGGTGGTAACAGTAACTCTGTTACCACCCTGTCGTTGATGATTTTCCTATACCAGCACGTCCCAAGTGTTTTATTCCTAGCAACAAGCCTGCGTTATGCAAACTGATTAGGCTTGATTGTGATGAGTATTGTTTTATGTTCTGGTATGAGTAGCTTTTAATTGAAGGAAACCCCCCCCCCAAAAACCCAAACGATTAATAAAAAGAAATTACACTGATTAACATCCATCCTAATTACCCATCATGCATTTTATTCGACACACATAAACGTAAATTACTTTGAGATTTAATTCCCAGTGACAACTGTATGCATGCGATTTGCCGTGATACTGTACTGTCAAAGACAAAAAATAGTCCGCTTCTGAAAGATTTTGCAATTTCATTGTATTGATAAGATTTTTCTTCCTTCTAGTTATATTGCACAGTCAGCCACGTCAGATGATAAGCTCATTGTACCGCACCATCTGTAGTTCAATACAACACTCGGTTGATGTATAACGATGCTCATTCTCTCACAAGCTGCTTTATCTTCTCTGCTCTGTGGTATTTGGCATTTGAGAAATCCCATTATATCTACATGGGACAAAAGTTATAAGCCAGAGTCTGACTTGTGGCTGTTGTCCAAGGAGAAATAAGAACGACGGCCCTCCTTCGCTTCAGACAACAACGGCTGCTGATGCTGGACTTTTCGGCCTTCCATTTCAACACGATAAAAAAAGAGTAAGGATCCATTTTGTAATTACCGAGAAGAGCGCACTTGTCTGAGTCAG